GTATCTGATGAAGTCATTGGTATTGATTTTGAAGATTTTGGTTTACGATTTGACTAAATCAAGCAAACGAAAAGACATGCAAATATACCGAAGAATATTATTGGGTATACATTTCGAACTCCTAACACAGTCGGAATCAAGGAAGAAGTCTCTAATTTGAAACACGTCAGTTATCTACGAAAAAATGTGGCCTACTATCTTTTACTTACTGTTTTTCCTCCTGATATTCTAGCACGTTTTTTTGTTCGATTTACTCTAGCTTGTTGCGTATATTGTTGTTTGGCTTCCGATGGTACTTTACGCCAGATTTTCTTTATCTGTTTGAAACGTTCGTTAAAGTCTAAATATAAAAGGATCAGACATTTTATGCTATTTATCTGAGAGAGCGAGAGAGCGTACATATTGAACCAAACAGAAAAAAGAGAGAGCATTGCAACCAAGAATGAAAATAAATGCCAAATGAGCAGTATAGCAAAAAAAAATTGATTCCCTGTCGATTCAAGTTCATAAATAATAAAATCATAAAATTAACCCCTAATAAACTTATAATCGTTTTTCAATTTACTTACAATAATAACTGTCATAGACATAAGGAGAAGAATAAATAACTGAAAACAAACACATTCATATGAAACTTTGCAAAAACCACGAGCCACAAAGTACAAATATTCTGCATTATATCAAGAAGTTTAGATATAGCAAGACTCTCAGCAGAAAAATTGCCAAGATGAAGAACGGATTTAATTGTGCATTAGAAGAATCAGAGAAAAGGAACAATTGTCAAAACGACATTCTATAGTCTATATAGCCCGTATATTCTAAATCGTCTTACCTGGAAATTGTTGTCGCAAATCAGGATGATTCATATTACAGTAGAGCACATTTGACATTGTTGCGCTTTGTCCTAATAATTCATCTTCTTGTGTACGTTCTAATAAATTTTGTTCGCTTGATGACGATGAAGGAACTGTTTGTGGTTGATGTTGATGATGTGGCTGTTCAACGGCACACATGGATGGAGCGCGAATCATTTGTTGAGGAGCTTGAAGCCAGTTCTGAGATAATTGAGGCTGTTGCTGTTGCTGAAGTAGATGATGAGGATGACCATGATGATCTTGAAATCTAAATGAAAATAGTACCACTTCAGTAAATTAAATGGT